CTGCCACGACCGCGCTCTTCTCTCCACTGAAATGGTCAAAGGCCGACTTGCGTTTCAAGTCATTCGTGTCCGTAAATAAAACACTGCGTTGCCTGCCAAAAGCATCGGCCAAGTTCTCAACTTTGAACCGCTCTCGCTCACACATATAAGCCATTCTCAACTTCACCAGGCTTCACAGGGACACATTGACACACGCAATGCTTTCAATCCATGCCATTTATTCGCGCGCACACAAAGTCAAGAGAACCCGTCAACAGTTTAGGATGCAAAACTGAGCCTTTGGAAACTTCCCAACTCCGCGAGCTCGCACACACCCCATCGTGCGCAAATGGAACGCAGCAGAATCCCTTCACACGGTTGGCGCAACTCATCATGGTCCAGGTCTGGACCAATTCGGTATTGCTGCCCAATTGACCACGAGTCAACCTAGGCAAAGTTACCGTCAAAATAATGGAAAAAAGGAGATTGATCTGAAATGTGCAAAGTTTTGCTTTTGTGATATTATACTTAATGATAAGACTCTGACCCCAATGCCGTGCGACTCAATGACTGCGCTATCTGTAGGCAAAGAATCAAGCGCGGCTCCCACACCAATATCTTCGTCAGAAGCATACAACAGGCTCTCGTTATGTATGTGGCTAGGCTCATAAAGAAGAACTGCACTTTGTTGTTATAATGACACGCGCCTACACCGCGCATTCACATGAAGTACATGTCGTGACACGTGTTCATTCAAAATGTCTCCCCTGATCAGGTTGAGGCTCGCTGGCTAGACGGGGAGTCTTCCGGGCCGCGGCCAATCTCCTCCAAGCTCATGGAGCGGCAGCGTTGAGTCAAACAATGAAACGCTTGAAAGGAAACCAAAACACATGGGCCTATGGTCCAATGCGACATGGGTTGAACAACTTCCTAATGGACATTTTTAAGGCTGAGGGCAAAAATTGTGCGGGGCGGGGACAGCGGTCGAATCGATTGAACCGTTCAAGTATGCAGCTGCATCAGGCTTCAAAAGCATCTTAGCAAGAAGCAACGGGACCTTGCTTCTGACGTTATTCTTCGCCTTCTCATGGATGGGCCGTCGCTGCGCTACCCCCTGCGCAAGGCGGTGCACTGACTGGCTGATAGGAGCACTTGGACTTTGTAAGGCTCGGCGTCTGACATGAACCTTTTGGCAATCAAGATCACATCATCTCCACTGGGGCGCTCGCCTCGTAGTTCATGACACTGTGCCTGATTGGCATCGCTCAGATCCCCCACAAACGTTTCAAATTCAATCATGGCCTCCACCCTATAGTAGCGATGGCCACCACCTAGTAGCGACCCTACTAGCGATGGCCTCCAACGATGGCCTCCACCTAGTAGTGACCCTAATAGCGATGGCCTCCACCTAGTGGGGATGGCTTCCACTAGCTAACATACGACCATTGAAGGCATATCCAGAAACTTTCATCTAAATCAATGCCATAGCTCTCAACCCCTTCAGTCGGAGACCAAGCATGGCCACCCACGGGCGCCACTCAGCACATTCGTCCAACTTAAAGGCCTCGCACTCAACCCTCAAGTTTTCACCAGCAGCTTCTTCCACCATGCTTTGGCCGCCCAAATGCATCCTAAAAATTGCGTTAGCTTAGACAACACTGTCGCGCGTTTCTGCAAACACTCCGCGGCTTCTCGTGAGGCTTCAGCCCTCTTGGATTCAAGGTCCTGCGCCTGAGACTGAAATTGCTGAGAACAAGCCCTCCGTTGGCACCTGCGCTGCTGTGAGAGCAGCTTGCTCAACTTGGTGTGGCTGGGCCCTGCATCAACGCCAGCGCGGGGCGCATTCATCATCGGAAGCGTACAGCATGCAAGTACCACGGTCTCACTATTCACAGATGAGCTAACTGGCTTTGATGAGCCCACCTGTGGGCAGAAGAAACTAGATCGGCCAGCTTTGTGTTTTGGTCAACACAGTCCAACTTGGAAACAGCTTTGACTGACTGTTCATTGCCACAATGAGCAACCGCCTGGCTGCGAGCAAGAAGGAAACTAAACAGTAATAACAACCTTTGAGCGAATGAAAAGCCTTCACACATCATCCCCCAACATGGCCGGTGAAAAACTAGTGTGGAGCGAAAACACTCGACTAGACCGTGGATCCAACCTGCCAGATGCACGCGCTTGCTCCTCTTTGTCTTCATAGTCCCCCTTGACCCCAAATTCTGCTGTGGCCAATCGATCTTTTGCAAATTAAAGAACATTCGCACCAACAATAGCTTGGAAAAGGGCCTCCACGAACAGAAATCGTCTGCGTATACCTCTGCACCTGTTCACTAGTAGCAGTTTAGCCCTCTTTGTTTTTAGATTGGTAGTTACACGCTACAAACCCCGGCTGCCCCGCCGAATGTCTCCTCTTCGAAGGACGATTCAGGACCGCTGAGGCAGGACGCTTCCGAGCAGACCGCTTCATGGAAAGCAATTAGACGCAACAAGTTGACCCCACTCACTTGAGACAAGGGTCGGGACATATGAAGTCTGAAAAATAAATATATGCTATGCTGAAACCGCTTTGCAAAGCTGAAGCCCACCAAATATTGACTCATTATTGACTCTCAAAAGTGAAATCTGACCTACTCCGACTGCACACAACGGTTGAACTTGAACTGAAACCTGAGTCTTCCGACGAAGGTGACATATCACTCACGCCTTGTGCGAAGGTCATGAGGAGTTTTTAAAAACTCGTGGAAGGAGACCCAAGAACTCAAAACCTTGGCCACCATGCACGCCTTCATGCTGAGCACGTCCCCTTTGACGAGTTTCAGTCTACCTTGAAACAAGATCTACACATGAACCACTAAACCAACGTCGAATAAACATATACCAAGTCAATACTGATTGCATATCAATCAAAAGCCCCGCACGTTCTGCGACGCAGGGAGGTGTCCACAATCCTCAGAAACCGTCATGAAGTTGGAAGAATAACAGGATTTGGCACTTGTCAACCCAAGCTCAAACCTTTTCCAACTGCGAACGTCCACTTCTGGATCTGGATTTGCGTTTAGAAGGCTTGGCGTGGAAAGGTTGAGCCGTTGAGCCTGCAAGACCAAGCCCCGATTGACATCCAGCTTCAAGGCATGGGCAAGTTGCACCTAGACTGTTTTGCTCACTCGCAGAAAAAAATCGTCTCTGAAAATTACTTGTCTTCTCAACCGTGCCTGGTGCAAGTGTTCGAAGGGATGGCTACTTGTCTTGTCACATTGTACGCACAGCAAAATAGATATGTCTGTAAAAAACGCAAAAGGTGCGCAACGCAGAAAAGCAACAACGCGCGCTGCTCGCAATGATGGTCTGCAGAACCGGGCCAAAACAACTGTGGAAGCTGGCTGCGTTGTCAGGCCTATGGCCTTCAACCTATACTAGCGGCGGCCTCCACCCCTACTAGCAATGGCCTTCAACCTAGTAGCAATGGTCACTACAACGTGTGAACCTGAAGCCGGCTTCTGTGAACACAACCGCCTATAATTTCTACTACGTTGCAAAATATGATCAAAATGCAAGCTGTCAGGAAATCGCTCCAACCAGTGACCGACCACTTTCTACGCAGCTCGTATTTTTGTAAAATGACATACGCGCATAAGTCACTCTCGACTCCAAAAGCGTGTGGCATAACACCACTTAGCTGTCACAGCTGCTGACCCCAACACTGCAAACAACACACATCTCCCACGCTGCGTGCCAATACAAAACTGCTGACCCTCTCTTTGGCCCAAACTGCCCACCAACGCTTAGCTGTCAAAACTGCTGACCCTCTCTCTGGGCCCAAAACTGAAAACACAGCCCTCGCGAAACCACTTTTTCCCACGCAAGTAGATTATACTCTCCTGCCTCAACAGAACTCTCAAGGGCTTCGCTTGTTTTCATTTTAGACCTGGAGAAACGCATCTTCAACGCCACATGATGAAGATGCTCAATCTTCTTCTCTCCTGCGCACCCTTGCCTCCTCATCCTCGATCAACGTTTCTACCTCGTCACTGTTGCGCCATCTGGACATACCTACAGCTTTCGTCTGCAGCGCCATTGACGGCTCTGCCTCGCGTCCGCGCTCGAACTCCATCGAGGCGCATGACTCGCGCCTTCCCAACAGCGCGCCAAACCACCATGTTGCTGAGCGACCGCCGCGGACAACGCAGGCCTGTCCCGGGCAGAGCCTGCGCACGCGGCATCTGCAAGATTGGCTATATGATATATGAGCTATTCGAAGAAACTTCTTGGATACTTCAATCGCGCCGAGGAGTATTGCCCCGTGGTCAAATTCTTCAACGAGAGTCCGCTTTTCAGTACAAGTTGAACGCGTAGGGGTCTTGTGAGTCTCGCCTTTTAGTTTTGTGAATCTGAGTTGCGCGCAATCGTGTAAGCAGCAGCAGAAGCAGATGATCAGAACATTGCTTGACTTGCTCTACTGACTAAGGTGAAGCGCTTTCCTTTCACGGAGTGCACGGTAATCGATAGCCAAGAGAGGAGTTGAAAAGATCAGATGCCTCGATGGGAAGTTGCTCTGTGTGCAAAACAGAAAGGGCGAGCAAAGTAAGAACTGGAGAGGCAGGGCGGCAAGGGCTATGATTGCCCGACCGCGCGCAAACTAAGCGCAGCAAATTGGAGCAAAGGTGGGCTGATAGCAGCGACGCAAGGTACAGTGCCTTCAAGAGGCCCAGCGTCCAGAAGACTTCGAAGCCGAAGCTCAACGGACAACGCCGGAAGAGCAAGAACGTCGCAGCTTGAAGAAGAACAAAAGGCAATGCTGTGGGAAGGATCAATGCCAAGGTTGGCGCGATAGAGAACCACGATCTAGAACCACGCTGCGACAATGGGGCGGTGAGAATGGAGCCTTAAGAGTGGACCCTGCCCCGGTCAAGCTGCTGAGGAGGAGTTCGTGCAGTTGAGCGTGGCACTAGAGCTAGAATGACGCGCGCAAGACAAAATCAATGTGTATCGCCAACTTCGCGTATGCGACCATTTGCGCCAGGCTGCTGAGACTGCAAGGCGCTGATCGGTGGTGTGGCAATGTAATTCGGTCCAGGCATAAGGATGGACAATATGCTGTCGTGGTCCAGGCAGGAAGATGAACAATATGCTCAGCGCTGGATGTCGGAGGCACAACTGCCCCCACTATGTGCTCCAACGAATTTGTTTTCAATCTCGCAAGCAAAAGTGCTTGCCCAAGCGGAGCATGCTAAGCAACCTATAGGGCACTAGGATGACGCTAGCAAGATCTAGAAAATCAATAAACTTAGAGCTTAAATTTGCAGTTTCATGGCTTTCTGCAGGTCTCTGCCTGACCCTTCTTTTGCGCTTGTGTTCCAGGTTGTTGCCTGCGAGGCGGACAGCGTGCCCCAAGTCAGAAGCCAAGCGTTTGTCCGTGTGAGACACTGCATTAGTCGCTGATCGTGCTCACTTCGTTTGGTCTACCCTGCTCCTCTAAACTCTGTGACTGCGCATTGCAACGGCCGCTGATAGCCGCCTACTCTTGATCAGCAGAGACTGTGAATTTCGAGCAACATTTTTTTTGAAAACTTAGGAAAATGCCCATATCCTAATTGAAATGTGCTTTTCAATGTGGCTTCGAGGGAATCCTGGCGCCTTCTCATCCTTCCCACCCGTCGGCCTTCACTGGGAGCACTGACCTCAGAGTTCAGATACTGAGATTGGTTATGATTGGTTCCTTCACTGTTTGCAGCTCATTTATTCGTAGTTGACCTGGTTAGTTGGCAGGCGGTGTTTGGAACTTTGAGAGAATCCATATTACTTGTTTGTGTGTTGTTTGTTCCTTGCGCTGCAAGACTTGTTCTCCCTTTGGGTAGCCTTGTGGGCCTTTGTTCTTAAAGGTGAACGTTCCTTCAAAGTTGCACTTTCCCTCATCGGCAAGCGCCTGTTTTCCTATAAGCCTTCAGCTACAGCCAAAAAACGCGGCCAAAATTGAGGCGTTGCCGCGCTCACGGCTCCAGCAAACCCAATGAGTCTTCGGCCCCGCCGCGAGGCACGTACGATCATTTCCATCACGAATCAAGTCGCAGCCGCTGCAGCCGCTGGAACCGCATTGATTAGCGTGTTGAAAATTGTGCCTTCAGCTATTCTAAGCTGAGGTGGCTTCAGTTTGTCGGACGGAGAGGCGTTTCCATTCATGTTTGTTTCGTCGCATATCAAACTTCCTTTGGGGTCCAACAACTTCGCGCTTCTTGTTGCAACATCATTCTGAACGGGAGGGAACGCAAAACTGTCATTGTCGCAGTTGCAAGGAAAAGCCAGTACACAGCGCCACCAGCCGGATGGCGTGTGTCGGAGGCTGTCGGAGACGAGTTTTTCTGTTATTAGTTTTTCGTATAAGAGAAATTTATATATTTCACAAGATAGCTGAAAGCTATAGGGGTTTTGTTTGACTGCCCATGATTTTAGCGCAGCCCAAGAATCCCACAGCAGGAAGAGCGTGTTGTTGCGGGGTTCCCCCACCCATGGGTCCAAAGCCTGGTGAAGCTGAAGAATTACTTAGACCTAGAACCAGATCCCTAAGTGGCGAACTCATGGTAAAGGCAACCAAGGAGCCAGGAAGTGGCTCTCCATCAACCGGTCTCGCTTCACGCCATCGATGTGTGTTTCCTGGAGACTGAAAGTGGCAGAAATAAATGGCACTCACCACTGTGGCAAGTTTGCATTGGAAATACGCCACGATAAAAAACACAAAAAATTCATATTGTGCACCATTGTTTGACTCGAGTGATTGTTACGGCTGATCACCTGCGCTCTAGAGCAAATGATCTGTCAATCAAGCCCATGCAAGGCCGGTCATCAGCACATAAGGCTAATGAAAAGCCAGCCAGCTTTACAATCACGACAGCGTGCATTGCACAAGTGCCACTAGACTTGTACAACTCGAGCCAAGTGGAAAAGTGAAGACAACAAACACGTATACGTGTTTGTTGTTCATGGGGGGCGTTCTTAGTTTGAGGGCCGGTAGCTATATATATATATATATATCACATATATAATATGTATATATTCGTGCGTGGATTCGTGAGCGTTCCGTTGTCGCACGTCCCAAGAGCGACCAGACCCGTGCAGTGACCCTGTAATTTTTCCAGCAGTGCTTTGAGTCTTGAGACGGTAACTTCAAAACTCAGCCTTTGTTGGCTTCCTGTTTCAAAGCCACGTTCACGTTAACCAAGTACTTGCGGAGCGTCCTCTCATGGACGCACCTGCTGGACGCTGTCCTGCTGAGGGTGCAAATTCGACCCACCAGGTCCTCGTCCATTTGACAAGAGTAGGCAACGGGGCACAGGGTCCACGTGCTAGAGACAGAGCTTTGCTCTAGAACCCGAATCACGTGACAAAACATATGTAGTTTTGGTGCCAATTTAAAACGGGCTTTTCCCAAACCAAATGCTTTTTGCACTGCTTCTGTGTAAAATGTCAACAAGGCCCGGCCATGTTTGGCAATGTGCCTTGTTTCGGGACGCCTCATGAACAAGTGTGCATGGTACAGCTTCCTCAAAAATTCGTTGCCTGCGACTAACGCTTGATAGATCACATGCAAGTAGTCTTGATTTGAAGCTTCTGGGTGATCTTTTTGGATTTGGAAATATTTCCATTCAAGGTATCTCGCAACAGCAGCTGTGTCAGCGCCTTTGAACCACGACCTAAAGCCATCAGGGTGTTTTGGAAAAACTATACGCATATATTCACACAAATTAAAAAAAACGCGTACGTGTGTTTTCAACCAGGAAACCCACAGGGGTAGTCCGAGTCTGTTGGAAAACTCAGTAATGTGCGCGTCAAGTCGTTCATGTGGAGAGGTATTCCGTTTTCACGGCAAAACTCTTTCAGCTCTAAGAACAATCTGTGCAGCCGCGATGGGATATCGCCGCCCTCATTGCTGTCCAATCCAAGGTCCAAGAGAGTGACCTCAGATCCGAAGGGATTAGCATAGGAGCTCACGCTCACAGGCTTTAACATGTTCAACTCTCAACAAAACATTCAAAAGGAATTATTTGAAACAAGGCCTAGCTACTAAGGCTGACCCTGTGAGTTCTGCCATGAGCCCCTTATGGAGTGTATGGAAAATATCTGGTCGGTAGAACCATGTTTTGCACCAGATGTTGTCCGAAGTGGCCAATGAAGTCAGAGAAGATTCAACTCTCCATGGTAAGTCTGGTGTGTCTAAAGATTCCGGACACATCCATGTTGCGTCCACACACTTGTGCCAGTCTGGAAAATCCGTAGAACCAGCCATACAGAGATGGCATAAACCACTTGCATTTGCCTTCTTTGCTAATGATTGGTGGTGCGTTCTTGTTAAGTTCCCAAGCTTTTTCAACATTGGCCAATCACCTTTGCAAAAGAGAACAGCAGGGTATAGCATAACCTCATCTCCTCCATAGACAGTTGGGATACCATGCTCAAAGGCCGATTGTAGTTCCAAAGCAAAAGATGCAATCAAGTTGTCAAACACTTTGGATTGTTTCCGATACAGTTTCACATGCATAACGCTGTACACCAACCTGGTGACAAAGCTGCTCCCTGCCATGTTGGTTCCGAGCTCGCTCTCATCCCTCTTCGAGCTGGACAAGGTCCCCTGTCCAATGATCGGCTGGGAAGCTAGAACAAGGAACTGAGCCTTTTTGTGGGTTTGGCCCTCATCTGCGTAGACTGCCATGGGGACAACTTGATGTAATCGTCCTGCATGTTTGGTGTAAACTGGATGTGCTTTACCTTCAGCTGACTCTGCGTAACGTTCCCAAAATGTAGCGCAGGACTTGAAGAGATCGTGGCCCCCTGAAAGACTATTCAGGCTGTTGTCGTTTCCAAGCATGCAAAACATATCAGACACGTGAAGAACCGGGTGCTTCTCTTTCAGTCCCACATCTATGTAACTGATTTTGCAGTTGGCTTGAAGGCCCTCTTCCTCTAAGAGACTTGGAGCACTTTCACGTCTTGATTTCTTGAGTCGACGCATGTGGCGAAGAATTTTCGAGCTTTTCAATCGGGCCCCCTTTGCACCATCTGTAGCACGTTCATGTTCATCAAAGATTGCTGTTGTAAGCATACAAGTGATGCGATCGGGTACCTTGTGTGGATCGATCAAAGCGAACTAGAACATTTGTGGAAATTCCGTGGCGGTCCGTCAAACCTTTTGCTATAGAATCAAAAGTTTGCGTCAAATTCTTGTTAGCGACTCCGGCGCTGATGGCTTTGGACACAGCCGCGCGCACAGGACTGAGCGCCCGCTTTGAGTCCCGCTTTGAAGTGGCCAAGCTCCTTGAAGAGGCGCTGCCTGCATCGATCGAAAATCGGAGAATTTGGCCACTGTGCGTCAATAAAAGTCGAGGCTCTTGTTCATGGAAAATGCACAGCATACTTAATACTGGAAAACGGATCATTTTTCCCAAACTGGATTAAGTCGCAGGTAGCGTGGTGTCAATCCACTGTGCACCAATGACATATGATCTGTAGCTCTTGTAGCTACAGGCCTCCCATGAAACTATAGAAGTGCGAGACGAGGTTCTTGGGCAAAGAATCAAACGTTCGGAAGCTTACACAAAAACATCAAATCCCCGGCACGGCACTTCTACATACCCCAGAAAGATTGTTCAAGGACCGTTTCTACTTCTTTTTACCTGCGGCCTTGGCTTTGCTTTTGGCCTTCGGCTTTGCCTTTGGGGACTGCACTACCTCAGGCTCCCCCTCAGACTCGCATCCGCGAGGCGTTGGCTTCTTGTTCCTAGCCTTCCCCTTCACACCTTTCAGGACAGTCCTTGGGCGGATGACGGAATCGGGCCACAGGGAATGGCAGACAAGATTGTTCAAAGGTAAGACTATAAAGCTGACAAGGAAGCTTCTTGACCTTGTTGGCTTCCACCGATGCACGACTAACCCTCGGCGGACACTGATATATAAAGAGACAATGTTTAGACAACATAGACTATTCATATACATATATATCCTAAAGAAAGATGGTAGCAGCAAGAGCATCAAATTGAGCACCACACGACTTCTCGATTTCGAGGAGTTTAGCGCTGAGCTGTCCAGAAAGCCTCAAAGGGATGATACTACGTTGTGAGACGAACATGAGGGGTCATATACTGGTCATATACTAGTGTATTCTAGTCCACGGTCATTGACAGACAGTACGTAAAGATATATATATATATGTATAAGTCTCCGACTCCTCAGTAGGACGACCATCGCGACTCGAATCTATGTCCGTCTTGATCTCAGCAAGCTCGTCGTGAAGCGCAAGCATTTTGTCCTTGTGCTTCCTGATGCCATCGGATGCCCTGAGCGCACGCGAGAATATATATATATATATGTTTCTTTCTATGTTATGAAGTTATGGATGTATAGTTTTGTTTATATTTGAATATATGTCGTCTTGAGACTCTCTCTGAGTCGAACGCTTCACAGCATCTTCCCCTTTGACAGCCTGCCCAGCAGGAACGACTTGTGATGATTTGCGAATAGGAATCTATAGCTAATGAATGCAAGATGTCAGAACTATTCCTGTAGAGTCCCTGGGATGACTGCACGCGAACAGATCGAGCGGTTGCCTGCGGATGACATCCATCTTGGACTGCTCTTTGAGGAGTTCCTCCAAGTGCGGCATGACGTCGTCGGGATCCTGGAGAGCAATTGGGGCAAGGAAGTTAATCAACGTTCCCTGTAAGTATTCTGCAAGAATCACGCTCCGTGTGTTTTGCTCAGAGTTTAAAAGGAACAAAGAGAAGCCAGACAGTCCTCCACATCCAGACCATCATGCTTGTGCTGGCCGCGAGTTTTTTTTGGAAGTCGCACTCTTGTTGTCGATGTCACTTGGACTCTCGGACTCCTGGTCACTATCGTCCTCATTCCCACTAGGCTTTCCCAGCGGGCATGTCAGGGTCATTTTGGCTTTCACCCTCCGCATCCGATCGGCAGATGTACGAGTGCTCTCTTCCACCGACTCTTCCTCCTCAGCCTCTTCAAACTCTGCATTCATGTCTTCTTCCACCCAGTATTTGTAAACACCCTTCTCGTATTTGTCCAGCTGACGGTGATCTGCTCTTCGGGACTTGTGTGAACAGTACTTCACAATGGCAGCGATTCGCTTCCTAGGCAATCACAACTATGCGATGCGACTTTAGAGTGCTGTGCTCAGCTGGAAACCGGCGTGGCATGTCATTTCAATTATATAATCTATAACCGGTTTTGAGCAAACTTTATGTTGAGGGCAGGACGGATTGTAGTTCAGGGTGTCCTTCATGGCCTGCTCTGTGTAGAACCCCGCTTTCACCTTGAATGATCCCTTCCGGGTTCGCTTGAAGCGCTTGGTCACGGTCTTCACAAATTTCTCCTGGAGTGTGTTGATCGCAAGCATCGGACTAATGACTTGTATATCGTGAAGCTAGCGAGACTGGCAACTTTACCCTTTAGCGGTACAAACCCTGTTGAAGTGAAGTGCGAGGCGAACATGTCAGACCTGGCCTTGTTCAATCCACATTCGCGCAAAAGCGTCAACAACTCTTCTCGGGACTTACCACGCTGCTGGTACTTCTTATGCACCCCCTTTGGCGCATCCAATTGGTGTGACCCAGGCTTGGGCATGCAAATGCGACGAAGTTGAGCTAAAGCCGCCGCTCGGTTCTTGGCCGACGACTCCTGCCAGGTTTGAAAGGATGTTTTCTTTGCGACCATTTTTTTCATGACTATAAGGGGCAGGGAGGGTTGCAACATGGTTCTGGGATTAAGGCTTGGGAGATTATAGGCCGTAGCTGATGCAAAGGGAATTAGACTGAGAATTGCCAAACGGAACCAAAGCAAGTGTGCAAAGCAGTCCTCAAGATCAGTCTTCTCCACAACACAGGCAGGGCGTGCGTCCTAGAATCGGAGCGTGCGCATACAATATACACGCACGCTCTCATGGCATGCAGTTCTCACAAGTAGCAAGGGAAGCAATTTGTTGAAGTCCTTGTCTGTTTTTTCACTGGGTGGTAGGACCTTCCCAGAAAGCGAAAGCTGCTGCAAAAGGTCTTGGAGTTCGGTATCATGTAGGTCCCCCTGCCAAGCGATTGTTGCAATAATAACCGCGGTATCAGCGCACATATATATATATATACCGCCACTTAAATGCTGGTATACTCTGATCTATAGGTGCATTGCATACATATATATATATAGGTACAAATGGTGTTTGTAGGTTTCCTTAAGGCGCAAGCATGTGTATAAACATTTTTACAACGCACAATATATTGAAGCAAAAGCAAAAAACAGAAAAGGTCTACAAATATCTAAAAAAATAACTAACTATAAATACATAAGTATATCACAGTGAAAACAACAAAAAACAACAAATTGTATGCGCAGTGTATTATGCGCAAGCCAGCCGCCAAGCGCAAGTCCGATAAGTGTAAACATACGCTTCCATGACGTGTCTTCATACCACAGATATCTAAAACATTCTAAAACTCTCAAGCTCTGGCACGCCTCATCCGGAATTGTAGAAATTTCTCCCAAGCTGCAGTCCATGGTCGAAGGCAGAAAGGAATACGGGTCCTCCGTAAGAGACATGACCTGGTCATGCTCTAATTCACCGCCTGACTCAACCAGCGTGGGGGAAACCGCAGAGGAAGACTCCACGTCACCATATGCATCGACTACACAACGTTCCTGGTCATTGTGCAGATCTATGGGTGTATCCAGCCAGCTACCCTTGAAAGCAGCTTGCTCCTCAAGCTTGTCCTCTGTTTCCTTGCCTGCATCACCTGCAGGCGGAAAAGCATGGAAGCATTCTTGAATCTCCTCAGCAGTAGCAGGGGCAGTGTCAGCCTGATCAAGATCGCCAGCGTCTGACACAGCATCACGCTCCAAAGGAACCACAGGTGGGGCAAACAAACCATCAAGCATCTCACAGGAATCCGATCGAGGTTGGTCAACGGCATGTAGCTCACGTTTGGCTACCTGCACACTAGATAAAAAATATAAACTCTGTAAAACTATTCAGAGCTGTAGGCAGGCAAAGAACAGAAGCATTCAACCCCGCCTCAATCAAACCAATGATATCATCCTCCGATTTAACTTGGGTTCCCTGTTCAGCAAGGAATGATTGTATTGCTTCTAAGGTCTCACAGCTTTGCAGGACCGATTTAGAACTCATGGCTATAGACTGGCTTGGATACAGGAATTGCGCTTAGAAGCATAAACGGCCTGGATCAATGGTTTATGTAAAAGTGTCGTATTTCTACCCAAAACTGCGCAAACATGCAAAAACTGGAACCATACAAAATGTACGGATATTTATGTCACTTTACGCAAATTTATGCCACTTTACGGGTGTCTCAATTTGCGCAGTTTGGTTCAAATTCTCAACAAACACCGCTGCAACTGCGCAAAAGTGATAGAAAATGTTCATTTCACGCTCAAAAGCTAGATTGCGTCCGGTTCAACTCTCAGGGATTGGCTCATTCCAGAACCTCTCCCATGGAACCGTCGCCACAACTTCAGAAATGTGCGCAGGGCATTCCCCACGCAACTTGGCGACTTTAGCCAGCAGGTATTGGCACACTTCGCCCATGTGGGCATCCTCCCAAAGATCATCAAAAGACGCCAGGTCCTTTAAAGTTCGCAAGGTGTCACTCAAGGTAGCCTGCCAAAAGCTGCAATACACGAAGATCGAATTAAGCAAAACAAGGGTTGCAAGTATATATATAACACCCAGACAGCGATAGATTGACAAATAAAAATACACATATATAGCGGTAAACGCACATACTTAAGCTGTTTATTTTTAGCATGCTTTCAAGTCCACAGTACTCGAGTCAATGAAGAAAAGGCCACAGACACACACTCAACGTGCCTGGGAACAGCTTTCGAAAGTCTCTCTCTCAGCAAGTAGATCTGCATAGATGGTAGCCAAGCCCATTCCAAAGCCACAAGGGTACACCCTGAGCAACAATATGATCATACAAGCAATCACAAACGAATTTGAATGAAACAATGCAGGAACAAAAAAGCGAAAATGCTGTTTGGCAAAACCTAGAATCTGAATGCCTCGCAGCTTTTTGTTTCCATGGTACGCCTTTCTCCCTGTAGGTTTTGCTATGTAGGATTCAGCTAACCGATGTTGGACATTGACTCGCTGACGCTTTAAAATCTTTCCCATGGATAAATGACGGACAGCACGTGAGTTGGCCCAAACACAGGTTCTCTTCAATGTTGGACCTCCAAAATGCCTCATCCAAAAGCACTGCCTCCAGACCTGCAAACACGCAGTTAGGATTTACTCTCAACTGTACGCAGCGCACAGTCTTGACCTATACTTCAAACATGACTGTCAAGCCCTTACCTTCATCTTGCGGCAAAGCCCACGCATGCGGGGATGACGTATTAAGAGGGAGCTTCTGGGCTGCTCTATCAACCAAACTCCCTCCTCACGTGGATCAGGTAGCACAGAAGAGCGACCCTGACACCAAGATGAAAATATCAAGTCTAGCTTGCATTTCACTTGCTGTACACGATGAAAGGGCAAGACAACAGGCGCACCTTGCAGCTAGAGTGTTTCCACATGCCACTGCTTTGACATGAAGCCATCCCGAAGGATTGAGATAGCTCCGGCCAGTACTGCCCCGAGAAATTGAAACAAAACTCGAACATACCACAGCCAACACCACCACGTGACCCCCCTCAGCGCAAGCCAAGCATGCGAGTAAAGCTGCGCAGAATCCTGATGGACTCAATATGTCAAAGAAGTTCTTGCATGGTCGTTTCCCTTTCTTGCGTGATCGTTTTTGAAAGGATGGCCAGTACAGCAAGTCGAGCCCTGCAGCTTTGAGGCGAACTGCCCGAAAGCAGCGTGTCACCACTGATCTTCCGGCAAAAAGTTCCACAGCCTGAAGTACCTGCGCGAACACAAGCATTTTTCTTCACAATTATATTTGTCTATCGAATCATCTATAATTCTGTAATGTAAAGCCGAACCTAATGAAACCATGATTGCTTGTTGCAGACTCATGAATCGACGACGGGGGCCTTTTTTTGTTTCGGCGCCACTCCCACCAACATGATGACTGCTGCCACAAATACCTGAGAGAGCGCGTGACACATGTATACATGTGTGCGTGTGCGCTAACTAAATATTGTAAAAAGTTTCAATGTGCTTGGATGAAGGCTGCATGAATGCACCAAAGGTACCCCTGGACAGCCCACATCTAGTAGTGCCCCCGCGAGTGCGCCAATCACTGCGCAATCCATGCTTAAGCTGAGTGCGCGGGAAGCCAGCTGAGACACGATACACACTGCAGGTCGGAAGGTCGTTGCGCAAGAGGTATAGAAGTAATGCATGTAAGCCAGAACGTGTTTTTGAATCTGAACTTGACAAAATTCCATAAGGTCGGATTGCCTGCCTTGCGGATTCTTCAAAGAAGAATTCCTCACCCGCCACGCTCTACTCATCGTACAGCTTCATCCTGGTATCATGGACAAGTGCAATAGGCATGATTAAAGTCTTTGTTTACAAGCCTGATGTAGAGGTGAAGAGGGGAGAACGCACCATACTGCAGGTTTACCATGACTCTTGTATATATATAGTTATATAAATACAGTAAATATATATATATATATTCATTGATGCTGTGCCAACAAAAGCATTTCAAACGCACAAGCCTCACACGCAGGTACAGCGTTCTGCACCCCTCAGTTCTGAACCTGCCGACAAGATGAAAGACGTCATGTGCAGTTTATCGTTCACGCCTCCCAACATTAGTTTATAATACCATCTCATGTCTTGCAAGCGCAATACGCTGATCGAACCTGCGCGAGAAGCAACCATTCAATCGTAGGCACCTGGCATGAGGTCTTTGCGCATGGTACTATAAAATGGTATGCGCGCAACAAAACGCAAATTGCTCACACACACGCATATACACTGCGTGCTTTTCAGCGCGCCCCAAGCGCTTCAAGAATCATAGCATGGCCACGCATGCGACACCGCGGATTGAGGCATCAAGAAGATGCATCGATGCCTATGTGGATCCTCCCTTGAGGCCAGCTGTGGAAACAACACGCACGTTCAGTTGATTGAAAGCAAACACTTTGCAACAACCTCCAAAAAAACATAAGATTGAATAGCAGTTTCCCATATGGTGAACGGCTCACAGGTTGGCTGATCCACCCCCACTCAAGACAGGTCAAATGATCTGTACTATAAACACAAATCTAGTTCACATCTTCAGGCTCAGGACGTGCTGTCCGGGGCATGTATTTAGGATTCCGACACTGCTTACAGCCGATTGAAGAGTTCCACCGGCACTTTGAACACCCAAGCGGACGCGCAGAACCACTCGCTCCGTTCGCTGCGAAGATGTCATCGTCGTCGTCATTCGGGTGGGGCTCCTTTCCTTTTGCCTTCTTGGGTGCCTTCTTGGGTGCCTTTGGGGGTTCTTCCTCTTCTTCTTCCTCTTCTTCTTCCTCTACTTCTTTCTCTTCTTCTTCCTCTTCTTGATACTCTGGAGCCTTCTTCTTCTTGCTGGATTTGGGCTTGCTTTTGCAGGCTGGTTTTGCTTTCGCCTTTGATGAGGCCTTTGGTTGTGCTTTTGCCTTGGCTTTGGGGCTCTTATTCTGCTTCTTCTTCTTTGGTTTCAGCGAATCCTTCAGCTTCCGCTGCATCTCTGGGTCAACCTCGGGCTCCTTCTCATCCTTAAGCTGGGGCGTCTTGCCTTTCAGGGCCTTGTCTGATGACTTTCCGCGGATCCTCTTGGCTGGTGGATCTGGCTCCTTGCGGGCAACCTCTACAGCCTTGGGCTCCTTGACCTTTGCTGGCTTCTTGGGTTGAGGTTCCTTGGGTTTTGAATCCTTGGCTTGAGCTGCAGGTTCCTTGGGCTTTGGATCCTTGGGCTTTGGATCCATGGGTTGAGCTTCCTTGGGTTTTTGCTGCTTGGGTTGAGGTTCCTTGGGTTTGGGCTCCTTGGGGTTTGCAGGCTCATTGAAAACATGGACCTTGTTGGTCTTTGCTGGCGGGTTGTTGGTCTCTTTGAGGGGATCTGCAGACTTGGCCTGAAGGGTGTGAACATATAATTTTTGAGATACGAGAAACACATTGGACACACAACCCATCCATATAAGACTTGACATTTAGACAGGTCGAACATCATTTTGTACAACAAACGCTGCATTTAATGTGTCTCTTTATCTTTCAATTTCGCTGTCAACTCTTCTAGTCTCTCTTTCTCTTTCTCCTCTCTCACTCTCTCTCTCTCTCTTTCTATTTTTTGCAAGGCCTTGGCAATAATCGCAGCACTCAAATGCCTTCCCGCAAAATAGCCCCGCGAACGCGAAGAGGGTGGAACAATTGGAGAGTCGGGAATCACCACGGATGCAGCATCATAGAGCTGGGTGTCCTGATGTTTTTTTCTAAAGCCCAAAGCATGCACGAAGTCTCATATATATATATATTTTTTTTTGTCTTGAGTCTTGCATCGCAGACCGGTTTAATCAATGTGTCAAAAGCTGCCTCCTCCTCACCGGCTGGAGGTGGTGGCTTCGCAGCGGACTTCGCTGACGGTCGTGGTGGCGGAAAACCAGCTGCCGAACCTGTCGGGAAGATGGCCCGGGACGTGCGATCGATCGGAACGCCCCCCCCCCCAAATATATATACATATATCTGAGATTAATTGTACCCCTCGCGATATGCACAATACATCACAATACTTATAGCAAAACTGTTGAAAATAGTTCAGAAACGCTTGGACATCTTCTCAGAAAGCTGCGCTTGCAGTTTGATAAGCTGCATTCGTAGAGCGTCAATGTTCTTCGAGGGTTTGGGGACATCATTGAAAGCTACGATCTCAACATCGCTCTCCTCCCCTGGAGTGTCCTCTCGAGCACTGGCGGCCTGCGCAAACATATAATGTTTCAGGTTGTAGGGGACTGAAGAAACTATAGTACAAAAATCCAGCGAGTTGCATTTATCAAAACGATCATTTGCACGAACACCCCAAGCCTTGTCATGCATACCACAGCCTTCATGCGCAGGCTCACCACCCTAGGCAGAAACCCAAAGACAAGGATTACTATATCTTTTTTTGGGCAAGGTATATAATCGCCTCTTCATGCTCTTCCTCTTCATGCTCTTCTCGAGATGCATCGCCAATCTCAGCGTCATCCTGCCAGATCATTCCCCAGTTGGAGTTTAGTTGGAAACAGGACGCGTTAATTTATCTGTGTATGGAGTTTTCCGGAGTTTTCCCTATGAACAACTTTGTTCTCACAAGACTTCACGTTATATGGGTTGAACAACATCGATCGATGCAGTCCTGTTGGTGCAATGGCGCACACTTGACATAGGCTCGCCCAAACCCAGAACGTTCCCGTACATGTTCAATCTTTTCAAAAAGCTTGGGGACGCCGTCAACCTGAGAGGCTTGAATTTATCATGTCTGCATGTATATATACGTGTTTATATTCTCGAAACAACAGTCAAATCAGCTTAGGAGCTCGTGGTGTCTGACGTCGTTTTTTGCAATCAGCTTGACGTCGTTTCGCAAACCCAAACAGCCGCTTGATGCTCCACGCATCTCGATAGCTTTGTTTGGGCTTCATTGTGTAGCCAGCCAGGTCGAACATCATCTCAACCTGCCCCAAAACGTGGGGCTCTAATAGAGAAACTTGCCCCAAAAAAACATCACAATAGAACGTGTTAGGTTTTGCGTGGTTGATAAGTTGTTCCCCGCCTCTCGTTGAATCTTCGGAACAGTAGGCTTCGGCTTCCATCCCCATTCATCAAACATTTCATACAAGATCTCTGTGTTGGAAGCGAGAAACTCGGAGTTCAGCGGCGGCCCTTCATCACCTTCATCACCTTCATCCTCACTAGCGATTTGCCTCGAAACCGAGGGTTCCCTAATCCAATCACCACCATTTCTCAACCTCTTTCGAACTACCAAGCGGCCCTCCCATCGTCGAGCCAACGACATATCCAGCACTTTTCGGCTGAGTTTGAGCCGTGAATCTCAAGAGTAAGTGATTAGCGCTGAAGATCTGCGCAACCCGATCTGTTGTTTCAAAAAGACAGGGATGCACCACAAACCATGCTGGCAGCACCTCTCCAGAAGCTCGCGCCGGCGCCATTCCCACACCCGCGCAGCGCGCGAAAACCGCGAACAAAAGTTAGACCGCGCAAAAAAAAACATTTGTTTTGTTGCAAATACGCCAGTGCAAAGAAAATTGTAGAGCTCAATATACATCCGCAATCATTCGCGTGCACATACTTGTCGTTGTTCTTCGGTTTGTTCGGCCCAATGTGCATTTTAAAAAGAGCTCTTAGCTCTTGAGCGTGGTTTATGAATAACGACGAGGCTGCAACACATAACCCAGCAGGGTTGCGTTGAAAAAAAACTGCTCACTCTCGGAACGATCGTGTTTTGCCAGAGAATGGTTCTGACAGCCGCTTTGATTCAAAACCACACTAGACTTAGGATCTGATCAACCAACCCCCTGCATGTGTAAACGGCCGGTGTAAAACAACGATCGATTTTGGGAGTCATCGTTTCGCATCCGTCCACCGATGTGTTTGGTCCTGTTTGAAGAAAGATGAAGAAAGCAACTGGCACACATGCATGTGCAAACATTAAAACCAGACTCCAACAAGTTTCACCTTAGGACATATATGAAGGTTTTTTTGGTACATATCTATAGTTTTTTACGTTATACATGTATATATATATGTGCCGATAATACACTTTCAAAAACACCTATAGGTGTTTTTGTTTTTTCTTGGCTCAAGAATCCCAATCACCAATCAAAACAAGAGACTGGCTGGTTCAAAGCCGACCAGTAAAGCCACTAAGCTCGACTATATCAAGCCAAAAGTTTCTTAAGAGTATCAGTGATACTTTTGCCTCTAAATATGCCACTGCATCCTTAAAGCGCCACTTGTCACTTCGATGCTTTTTGTTGACACTTTAAGTTCGCAGGTTTGTAACATCTAACTGCGTCGTACTTTCCTTGCAGATCCTCAGACCAGATTGGCACAAATCAGCGAACTGGACATTGCCTCATGCTGTGCAATCAACCGGTACCCAATGCAAACATATGCAAACTAGATCCTTCGCCAACCTGTAAGCCTCCTTGAAGTCCAGGCAGTCATCGCATGCCAATTGGTTAGTTATGGTTGCGAATCCCAAGCAAGAAGACCGTTTCTCCCTGAACCTCCGCCAGAAGGTGTGATACCTTCAGTTCCCAACATTTCTCACATGCTCATGTTCATGCATACATCATTCTGAAACAATACAAACGCGTCTGAGCTACGACGCCGAATAGCTATGACGCCGAATTGAAGCCACAACATTTTCAAGTTACCAGGTGGCAACAGACGAAAAGGAAGGTGGCTGATAGACGCAGAATAGTTTGTTTCAATGATCCTCAGCCCACAATTGAAAGACTGTTCCCGTTCCCCTATTGAGCTCAAGTGCACTCATCGACGCCAAAACAGATGGCAAAGAGTCCGCTTGAAGGCGGCTTGATTTCCAAGGCTAAATATTTTCAACTCCTGATCGTCCTCAACAGACTCGTCGCCATACTGGAGCACGTCCTCGTCGTCATAATCATAAAAGCCTGGCACTGAATTTTTGTTGCAAACATTCCCATTATTGAACACAATGAGATTGAATAGGTCTATAATTTCCAACAAGCTACTGGCACACGCTTGGTCGCCACCCACAAATGCATTTCCAAGGTAGGCATCAAAGCGCGAATCAGGCGCTTGTTTCTTCTGGCCTCTGCGTTGGAACCTCAATGTAGCACCAAGCCAACAAACAACAGGAGTTGCCTGTTTTGTGAGCAGATGGTCACTTGTTGTCACTACCCCTTTCCTGTCACAGAACAGAAACACCTAGCCACACTGAAGGCAAGACACTTGTCTGGCAGCAAGCCTCCACAATAAACGTACATGTCCAGGAAAAAATCGTCCACAAGCTTGGCTTTCACAGGATCATGACCTGCCACCTAGGCACATTGAAAAATTCAATGCGTTCAAATTTAAAGGCTTACGCCTAACAGCCGGGCGCCGGCCCACTTGGGTCTGTGTAGGGCTGGGTCGGGTGCACGTTAAGCTATCGGGGGCGTACTGGGGGAAACTGGTCCGTGTCGGAGACGGGGGCCCTATATTCAGCAAAGTTAAGCTATCTGGTGCGCATCTTGGCCCTAGGTTGGGCCAAGTTGGGCCCATGTGGTCTATGTTGGGCACATCTTGGGCCCATGTTGAGCCTATGTTGAGCCTATGTTGGCCTATGTTAGGCCTACGTTGGCCTATGTTGGCCCCATGTTGGCCTATGTTGGCCCTATGTTGAGCCATCTTGGAGGCTATGTTGGGCATATGTTGGGGATATGTTGGCTATCTTGGGCCTATGTTGAGGATATGTTAGACAATTTAAGTCGTCTGGAGGGCCTCTACCCACAAAATGTCGATTAAGCCTGTCCGCCCGGCGCGCGTTACCAACACCACCCTTGAAAAACACAGCATTTTTGCATTTCTCCGTTTTCCCCGCGTCGTACTTCGATATACGCAATAAACCCTGTAAAACACAGTGTTTTTGAACATCGCACGCAAAAAACACTGTAAATTGCAGGGGCATCAGTGAACCGGTGGTCCCCCCATTTTGGTGATGAGGGTCGGCGGCAGGGGGCGCGCCCGTATATAACCTTCGGTTACCACCGAAGGCCCTCCGGGCAGGGCACGGGCTTCGTGGCCGGCGCCCGGATTTATGAGGCTTACGCCTGACAGCCGGGCGCCGGCCTATTTGGGTTTGGGTATGTGCAGGGCTGGTTCCCCGCTCTCTCTCTGTCTCTCTGTCTCTCTCCCTCTCTCTCTCTCTCTCT